TTTTTAAAAATATTATTTAATATAAAAATATTTTTATCTGTAAAGAAATTAGAAAGAAAGAAATTATATGAGTAATTAATTTCATATGACGTTAATAATAGAGGGCTGCGCGCACAGCCCGAAATTAAATCAACATATATGCCTTTAAAAAGGATTAAAAAGCACTTTTTAAAAAAGAATTCATTTCCAGGAATTTAAATTTAAAAATATTAAGAAAATAATAATAAACAATGAAAGGAAAACCTCTGGAAGTTTCGTTTTTGTAATATAAATAAGAGCAGTGCTAGGGGCACTCGCCTCCTGCACTCTCCGGCCTACACTCCCCATTTCATTGGGCCACGTAAGGTTGTTTAAGCTCCGAACGGCAACCTCTCGCCGAACTAAAATAACGTGGCCCAATGAAAGGAGGAGTGTGGGCCGGAGAGTGCAGGAGGCGAGTGCCCCTAGCACTGCTCTATAAATAAATTAAGTCAAGTGGAGTCGGTCCATCTCTCTCAGCATTTATCAAGCCCTATTCTCCTTGGGTTCAAAATTAAATGTGCATTATTACTTGAATTTAGTGTTTTACCTTGTGAGAAAGGCAATTCAAGCAATCAATTAATCCGGCTATGTATAGCTCCAACTATTTGATCCTATAGTTAGCGGTTTTGTTTAATTTGATGATTGATAATAATAATTATTAATAATTTAAATATATTTATTTATTAAATTTGATGATGTTATGATGATGTAAAAATTGGATATATGGAATTCAACATAAAGTTTGTATTTAATTTAAAACTAATGATACTAAGTAGTGTAATACTTCTTATATTTAAGTTACATATTTATTTGTTACGTTTTCCATATTGGATTTTCCCACTCAATATATGCAAGTTTGGCATGAACATTGGATTTTACTACATGATTTTATACAACATATCTCCTCATATGTAGATCTGGTATGAACATTGGGTTTTATTACATGATTTTATACACCCCTTACATGTAAGATAATATGAACTTCAATTTTACATGGTGAGTTAACAACAACCTCTCCAAAAACAGACACTGGGCTTTGATATCGTGTGACAATTAGGTTTGTAGGCTTCAATATGAAACTTATATCCAATATAAAACTATTTAACAATAGATGGAATAGTTATCCTTGTATTTAAGCAACATGTTTATTTGTTATATTCTCGATTTTTTCACTCAATAATAAAATCATTAATCACTAATTTTAAATTATTATATCAAACAGTTCCAAAATCTTCTCTATTACCACCTACGAAGTAATTAGAAAGACAAATCGGAATGTTACAATTGATCCTTTTTACAAAATTAATGAAATTAAATTAGGAGTTCTTCTAATTTAATGCATTTTGACCGATTAATTATATAATTATTATATATTTTTTAAATTTATTGGTGTTAAGAAAATAAAAGTTGAAGTCTCTTTAATCAATTGTTTAATTAAAATAAGAATTTTTCTAATTTTTACCTTTAAAGTGTATTTATTGCATCTTTTCTTGTATTAATTAGCATAAAAAATAAAAATTGATATTAATTTTAACAAAAGTATAATTAAATTCATTCACATAACAACGATTTTGAAATTAATGTTAGTTCTCATATTTTTCTATGCAAATTAATATAAAAGTTATGTAATAAATATATTTTTAACCTATACCATTAGAAAAATCTTTAAAATAATTTGCATAGAATTAGTAATAAAACTAATGTCAATTTTATTTTTTTATTAATTAATTTAAAAAATATAATAATTATACCTTTAACTTACCTGCTACAAAAAGTACTCTTAGAATCTGGTATCTGGATAATTTGTTGTTGATCCTTTCGGTTCATGGTTACATAATGTCAGTATTAGTAGCTTGTCATCACATTTAAGACATACAATGACACATACAAATTGCCTGAGCTCAAATCTAAAAAGGAGCTGTGTTACCGCAACAGAACTCAAATCTAAAAAGAGTATCATCTCCTGACAGAAAGATAATTTTTTGTATCATTTTAATATAAGTTTTATATATTATTAAATAAGTGAATATATTTAATATTATAAATTTTAAATAAATAAAAATGATCAATAATTTAAATGATACATAATGTTATGAAAATAAATAATGAATACAAAAAAAAAGTATTCATAAATCATTTTCCAATTTAAAAATGAGATGTTGGAACTTGGAAAATTTTGAACTTACTTCTGTTTTGAACGACCCTCATCAATAAAAAAAAAAAAAGGGAATACTTTAAAAATGAAACTAGAACATAGGTAGGTAAATTTTAAGCATAAGAATGAGATTTTGAATATTAACAATTTCCCCCTGCCAAAAAAATAAAAAATCCCATTGATTTTTGCACTACAAGTCTACAATTTAAAAATGGCCACCACTACCTTCATTTTTATTGTGTTTCTATGAATATTCATTTCATAATGAAGATATAAATATTGCAAAAGCTGATTTTTCCCCTTTTTTTTGGGGGGAGGGGGGGGGGCAATAAATAACCACATTTTTCTGCCTTAATAAATAATCAAATTGATTTCTAAATTTTGGACGTTATTCTAGTGAAAAAGATCGGAATTGCATTTTAAGAATATTTTTGCACATATATATATGCTGGCATGGAAATGGTTTATCAAAAAAAATTGCCGCCATGGAATGAAAGTGCGGTAGGAAAGTGATATCTCCCATTAGCTTGGAAACCACGATTTCGACAAATATATGCTTAGTCGGTTTTCTATTTAGAGATACTTCTCAGGGTGTATTCCTATGATTTATAAAAATATCATATTGGTGCATCCAAATATATAATATGATCAAACCAATTGATAATTCATTTTTGCAAAATTAACTCGCAAATCGTTTAAAAAATTCTCTCACATAGTAAAAACAAAAATTGGAAAAATCAATTTTATAAGAAGGGTCTACCAAATCAATTTTGCAAAAATGAATTATCAGTTGGTTTGACCATACTATATATTTTAGCCAAATCAATTTATTATATCTTCCCCATGAGATGTTATCAAACCAATTTTGTAAGAGGACAAGTCAAGCGTATGTTTATTATATTATTATACCATTTATTTATAAATTTATAAAAATAAATTTTATTTTTAACATACAAATATCATAAAAAATAATTTAATTAAATAATTGATAAAAGTTAAATTACTTTTATTTTTTTCATATAAATTAATAACAAAAAGATACTTGTTTGGAGGTTAAAAAAAGAAAAAGAAAAAGAAAAAGAAAAAGAAAAGTCAAACCGTCAAACTTCAATACCCTTTTGCTACCGCTATAGCCATAATTACTGCTCCTACCAAGCCCAAAGTGTTAATTAAACTATTTAATTAAAAACCAAATAAATTCCTAGTTATTGCGGCTTCTCTCATCTCACATGCTGCTGCCTTTATCTCCATTTTCAAAGCTTTCTCCCCTATCTATAAAAGACCCCAACTTCTCTGTATCTTCCCCCCCGAATTAAGCCAAGATCTGAAAAACAACTCCCTCTCTGTTTCCTAGTTACTTTTTTCTTTCAATCAATCAGTCTCAAGGAAAAATGGGCTCTAAAACTAGAGGCTGCGGCCAAAGCGAAGAGGAGATGGAGGACTTCAGGCGAGGTCCCTGGACTGTCGAAGAAGACCTGAAGCTCATCAATCACATTACTATTTATGGTGAAGGTCGCTGGAATTCCCTCGCTCGTTGCGCAGGTATGCTACGCCTCTTTCCTTTCTCTTAATTTCCTCCTTTCTTCATATGTACGATCGAGAAAGACTTATAATAAGTTAAACAAAAAGTTGCTTAACTTGGGTTCAGCTTTGTTTCTCTGGGTCATGTTTCTATCTTCTTCATCACTTTCTCTCCATGTATTTTACGAAAAGATTTAAAACATGGGGTCTTATTTTCTTGGAAGATCAGAAATATATCATGAACAAGAAAGCAAAAGCTGTACGTTTCTTTTTGAAAGATCAGAATTTGTAGCTTTGCATATGTGAGTTTTTTCTTTTCTTTTCTTTAAAAGTATACGAGATGAATATAGAAGGGAAAAAAAAGTGAAAGGCACAACTCATGATGGGAAAGTATTGGAGAAAAATGCTTCTTTTTCTCTATACCCCATCATTATTGTTTTAATTTCCAACTAGCTTTACTAAAAGCTTTGGTGTTTCTTAATGGAACAGATCTTAAACGGACAGGGAAGAGCTGCAGATTACGCTGGCTGAATTATCTCCGCCCTGATGTTCGAAGGGGAAACATCACCCTTGAAGAACAACTCCTGATTCTCGATCTCCATTCTCGTTGGGGAAACCGGTATGTATGGTGAAATTTTCCTTTTTCAAGTTTTCTCTTGCATTAATAATTTGTTTGGTTTAATGATTTAATTAACCTGATGATCTGTTTGCTATACAGATGGTCGAAGATCGCACAGCACTTACCGGGGAGAACGGACAATGAGATCAAGAACTACTGGAGAACCCGAGTCCAAAAGCATGCGAAGCAGCTTAAATGCGATGTGAACAGCAAGCAATTCAAGGACGCCATTCGATACCTCTGGATACCGAGGTTGGTGGAAAGGATTCAAGCGGCGAACGCTACGTCCGCCATCACCGCCTCTGCCTCCACCTCCCCCTCCGCCAACGTGAGTACCGACCACCAGTTGTTCAACAACTTTCACGAGGTGGGGTCTGGCCAAATGGTGTTTCCAGATGACTTTGGCGGTGCCCAAGTAACTCCGAGTTACACATCGGAGAACTCTAGCACGGCCTCAGACTCGTTTGGTACACAGGTGTCTCCTATGTCGGAGATAACTGATTATTACAGTGTTCCGGTTAATAACAGCGCAAATCCAGATTATTACCAGCCGGATCAAGTCAGTTACTCCGAATCCTTAATCAGTCCGTCGGGTTATTACAACAATGGACTGGATTTCCAATCCATGGAACAGAACACTTGGTTGGACGGCACCGGCGGTGATGCATCGTACAATTTATGGAATGTTGAGGATTTCTTGTTCCTACAGCAACAGATCAACAACAACACCATGTGAAAGAAAGAAAGAAATAAATAAATAAAATACTCCCGCATACGGTGAATGTAGAGAAAACAATAGAATAATTTAGAACACAGACAGAAATTGTGAAGATTAATTAAGTCATGCATAATATTAATTCTGGATCACTCAGCTTGCAATTTTTTTTTTTTTAAATTTCAGGGTGAGAAAGAAATTGTACTGAATTTGACTAACTGATCAAATTCATCATATTGACTTTAAGCAGTCTCTGATTTAAGTTTTTTCTTTTTTTCACTTTTCCAAGCTGTGATTACTTTGTATTAGCATGTTTAAAGATAACTTACTATTCATTAAGTCTATAAATAAGCACGCACCATGCATCTTTCCAAGCCATGTATGTCATTACTTTATTCCTTATGTTCATTGGAATTTTTTTTTTAATAATTAAACAAGTGATGTTACTTTTTTGAAACCTTGTCCATGGGGCCTGAACTAGATTAAAGTGCCCCATGTTTCTAGATTACCAGAGCATGCTTTTAGCTTAGACGTGGCGAGTTCCAATTCACAGACTTCTGGGTTAAGTTGGTCATTAAGCTTTTGATTGTTTAACTAATCATGTGGAATTTAGCTTAATTGGGGGAAAAAAATGTGGAATAATCCCACTAATTAATGATACTCAAAATTCCATCTTTTGTTCCGCTTGTTTGCCATGGTACGGACAAGGTGCTTGGATGGATCCCAATTAACCAGACAGTCGTATTAGTAGTAGTAAAATTGGATTTATTCCAGTTAATCACATTTTCTGGTCCTAATTAGGCACAACTGTGTTAGAAAATATATCTTTAATTTAGTACGTATTTTTTTGTTTGAGAACACTACTTGTATTTTTAATTTTTTTTTTTTGAACATATTTGCAAGGGACGGGTTTTGAACCCAGCCCGAGGAGGGGAGAATACACCGGGGTGGCTATTGCCACTAGGTCTCAAGAGCCAAGTGCTGTATTTTTAATCTTTTAATCTAGGTTATAGGTATAATTTAAATATTAAAATTAGTAAATTAATTTTTTTTATAAATTAACATGTGAAAAGGTTTTATTAAAATAAATTGATATATAAAAACTTGTAAAAAATTATTTTAATAAATTCAGAATGCAAATTTCATTTTGATTGTGCAATTTAAACGAGAAAAAAATTTAATTTAATTTTGTAGGAAAATTTGAAGAAAAAGGGGCGGCACGTGCATGAGGGAAAAGAAGCACGTGATGGAATGGTGGAGAGAGAGAGAGAAAGGTATATGGCGGCTGCGGGCTGGGAATCTTTGTAGGCCGCGTGCCTATAGGCGAAGCCACCAAAGTGGTCCTATATGTAGATGAGGGTGTTGATGAACTGACACGTGTATCATGAAAAATAATTACAAAAATAAAAAGTAATTTGCGTTTAAAATGATTTCTGGTTGGGCTTTGTGGTACTGCACCGCCCACAGCGGCACAGCCGCAACCCTTGAAGTTGAAACAGTCCTATGCTGCTTTGCAAGAATCCCACGCAAAACTTACTTCATCTTGTTTTCTTCCCCCCTTTTTTTTTTTTTTCTTTTTGGTTTTTTGAACCCAGTGGAATTTGTTTGAAAAAGGAAAGCAAGTTTTGGGTATAAAATTTAAGATATTATATTTTAATTCATTCATTTAAGAGAATGGCTACTTATTCAATGATTAGATTATTATTTTTAATATATTTTGTATTTTTATCCCAACTAGTCAAATCTAATGACCATCTACAAACAATTTTGTTTGAAGTATAAAAATATGTATTTTTTTGTTTATTTTTAGTAAATTTATTTTAATCTTTTAATATTTTAGATATAAAATTTAAATAAAATTTTAATATATTATATAAATTATAATTATTTTTTTAATCAAATAAAAGTATTCAATAAGAATTTAGATAGAAATTTTTTTAATTATTATTTATATAAATTATTAAATTTTTATTTACAATTTATACCTAAAAAATAAAAAATAAAATAAATTTACTAAAAATGAGTAAAAAGAGTAACAAACATGACTATTAAAATATTTTACACAAATTACAATAATAAGGCCCAAACTTGTATTCTCAAGTATAATTTACGTCTAACCATAAAAAAAAAAAAAAAAATTGACCTCTAGTGTTAATACTTAAATCAAACCCCCCCAGGAGTTAAAGTACCTGGGGCTAATATTTGTAAGAATTTTTTAAATTTGTATTTTAAAAATACATCTTAAGAATATATATATAAGAAAATTTTATATTAACTTTAAGAATATAATAACATGAATAGATTTAATTAAAAATTAGTAATTAAAAATATATATATTTTTTTGAACTAGGAGAATTAAGGGTACGAGTGGGGAATGGGGATAAGGGGAATCGAATTTCAATGGTGTACATCAAAATTTATATAATAATCACTTAAATCACATATTATAATTTATTTTATAATTTAAATTATATTAAATTATAAAATATAAATTATTAAATAATGTTTGATTGAAAGGAAACTTTTTTTTATTTTCTTGTACTATATGTTCCATTTTATAAACTTTACTTCCCTAAATTCTTCTTCAAGAAAAGTCCAAACCAAATTAGATCAATTTTACTTATATAGTCTAAATTTATAAAAAAATATATTTATTATATCATTAATTTATATTTATTAATGATCTAAATATTTTAATAATTATTATTTTTATTAAAAATAAAAAATCATAAATTTAATTTACATAACATGTGAGTAAAATATAACAAAAAAAATAAAAAATAATTATTTTTATTATATAATAAAAAAAATTATATCCTAAAGTATACGAAAAGAAAGTAGAATACAACTGGACTCCATAAACAACGAGGTTAGTACTTATCCTTCAGCCGGGTTCGGCTTTCTACTCTCACTTTTCAGAGTTTCTAAGGTATCTTTCTAGTGAGGGGGACCCACTTGAGAAGAAGTACTAGGAGGAACTTTGGACTTCCTAGTCAACAGATGAGCTTCTGGTAATTCCACGTGGAATCTAGGTGGCATCCGATACGATTAGTTGGTGGGACCTGAAAATATTACTTGGGTCCCTGTTGAAATTTCCTGTGCAGCAACCTGAAAAGGTCGACGGCTACTGTTGGAAAATGGAACTTTTGAGCCCTTCCCTCATTGGCATTGTGTCCCTTGGTGATTTAACAACAGCCCAATACATTCCTAGCGCAGACCAAATGTGATTTCTTGGTCAATACATGGAAAAATCTCATTTCCTGGTTTCCTTGTTATTTTCCACGAATGATATTTTCTTGATGGTTAGTTATAATCCTTTCAAAGAAGATGTTTCCT